ACCGTATCCCAGTTCACTGGTACCATTATAATTGCCTTAAGACCCTTCAAATAGGGATGGCTATTAGGGAGCCCTGTGGACTGACCATCCCTCGGAGGGACTGATCAGAAGCCATGGGATAAAGTGGGAAGCAGGTCTCTTTAGTCATGTACCCAAACTTGGATCAAACCAGCTCCTGGCAGGCACACGGCGGCGGTCTGTATGTACTTTGCCTTCCAACCTTTGTAGGTCACACACACAGGAGGAGCCAAGCCATAGCTCATTTGTTTGACTTGAGAAGGGTCTGCAACATATTAATCAGGAAGGAACTGTGCCCTGTATTTCAGCAGAGGCATCTCTCCAACAGCTGAGCAGTCAGGGATGGGGCGTTTCAGGCAGACGCTCACACGGCGCTTTCCTGAGCCAGCTATCTGATCACCCCTGTACAACTCATCCGAAGAAGTGAGGTTTTTACTCACGAAAGCTTATGCCCAAATAAATCTGTTAGTCTTTAAGGTGCCACCAGACTCCTTGTTGTCCCTGTACAACTGTTCTTTAGGTAACTGAGGTTCTAGGAACATCCACACCCAAGTCTTAATACAACAGAAGATGTGTTACCACACCCAGGTAATTGCAGTGAGTGCTGCTCCGTGCAGCTGCTATTAACCCGAGCGCTCTATCCCTCTGAAGACGTACAAAGCATGCAAGAGAACTCCCAACATCTTTCAGTAATTTGCGTGTCAGCTTGCTGAGTGACAGCTCTTATTTGGGTTTAAATGCTGTTTGCATCAGAAGCACATAATAGCAGAGATGGCTGCTCCAGCTACAATCGTCCCTTGTTACAAAGCACCTGCCTGCCGAGGGCATAACATCCGCTGAGATGAGCGGAGGAACGCTGCTGTCAGGATAGCGCTGATGGAGGCGCAGCCCTGCCCAGCGCAAGGTGCTGCACATGCAAGGTAAAGAGTACTGAGCACGGGGACCGCAGACCTGAGTCCCTGCTGCGCAGCCACTGAGTGTACATCTACACGTCTACCAGAGATGGAACGCACACCTCTAGCTTGATGTCTGCACCCTAGATCCGATCGACCTAGCATGCTAAAAGTGCAGCGGCAGTGGCCAGGCGGACGCTGGGGCTACCTGTGCACACACCTAGGGGCTGGAGGGCTTGTCCTCTGGGTGGCTAGCCCATCCTGCTGCTCATCCCACAGGCTACGCTTCTATTTTCAGGGCGCTAGCTCAAGCATAGCTAGCACGCGTCTGCCTGCTTGAGCTGGAAATGACCCCTCCAGCGCCAGTGCAGTTGTACCCGAAGCAACTCCTATCTTACAGCAGGTAGGAAGCCTAGGAGGACTGGCAGAACGAAGGGGCACATTAGCAGGGGGGGCTGCACTTAAGACCGCGTCTCCTCAGACATATTCTAGACTTGGGGGCTTGAGGGTTATCGCCGCTCAGTGCAGAGCCTACACCTAGTGCTCGGCTTTACTTGCACTGAACAGAGGCAACCTTACGTGCCCTGCTGTGCGCCACAGAAGGAACCACAGGGCCATGACCTCTCTTGCCTCCGTACAGAAAAGGAACTCAGCCCTCCAGCCTGGCTCAGGGAGGTTCTGCAGACTTGTGCGTGACCGGAACCGGAGCACAGGCCATCCCTGTGAACATGTTAACGTGTGATTGCTCTCTACAGCCGCACACGTATGCAGAGCTGTACCTTTTACAGCACTGAACTGTAAAGGAACGAGAAGTTCTTCAGTATCTCAGCTGGGGTGACAACAGGGAGGGGAACCCAGAAATACTTCAGGGTTAGGCAGTAAGAATTAGCGAGCCAGGGGGCCCAGGCGGCGTGGGGAGCTGTACAGAAAGCAATCAAAGCAGCACAAGATGGAGCTGCCAGTCAGCGAGGGGCTTGGTCTCCCGCGGTGGCAACAGATACCCGGATTAAACAAACCTTCCAGCACTCGACTCCCGATAAACTTTGTTTTAAAAAAGCTTCTGTATTAAAAATAAGACTCAAAATAGCCAACTGCAGCGTTTCACTGTAGCAACCTATCGACAGAACTAACTAAGAGGGCGCAAGGCTGGTTAGGGTATGCACTAGTCACAGCAAGTGCCACTGGGACCTTCAATGCTGGTTCTCTCTCAGGTCACCTGCACTCTGGAACCTTATGGCTAATCTTTGTTTAACAAACGGAGCAGACTCCCTCCTGGAACAGATGTGTGGCTTTTTTAAAGTAATGGTGCCCTGTTAGTGGCAGGAAAGATCCTGCTGGGGCGCAGAGAAGTTAGGAGATTCCAAGCCAACACTATAGTTCAAGCATAAACGCAACTATCTGTTCTCTCCGGTAGCTGTAGCAAACTAGGCTAAACTTCGAATTCCTCTTCAACGTTCCCGTCCGCCGGCAGCTCAGCTTCCTCTCCAACTGGCTCGGCAAGTTCCCTCATCTGCTCTGCTCTGGCCTCGCTAAGCCCTGCCTCAGCTGCCTCCTCTGAACCTGGGGAATGCACAGGAAAGCAACAGACCGTGGTTAGAAAGAGACGCTTATTCTCTACACTGGACCCTGGGCAGTGATGACCCAAGGAGCTCGGCACGGTGGGCCCTTCGCTCGGCTGGTGTGAAGTACAACAGATCCATCAGGGAGAAGAAACGCTAATTTAGGGACTAAATTCACACGATTCAACTTCTCTGTCGAGGAGGAAGAGAGCTGGGTGGGAAGAGGGGAAAGTGGGGGCTCCGATTCCCACCATTCACTGCTCTAGTCCTCCAAGGGCTGCCACGGGAGCATGTGGCCCCATCAGACACAGGCAGGAGTTAGGGGGAAGAAAATATTGGCCAAGAATTTCAAACCTGGCTGCCTCAAGTCAGGCTCCTGTTGGAGCTGCTGGGTATGTGTCAAAAATCAGGTCCCTCGTGTAGGTATCTAAATATGGCTATAGGGACCCAGCTTTAGACTTCCAGGTTTGAAAGCACTGACTGCAGCCTCATAAGGCCCCTCAAAGGAACAGAGGAGGCGCCAGCAGAATCCCTGTTCCAGGACCCAGACAGTACAGGAAATATTCTGGCAAATTCTCTTCTCTCCTCCCCACCACGCCTGCTGTTAGAAAGGCTCTAGAGAGGAGGCAGTTTCAGGAGCCTACCAAGTTTTTACATGGAACTGAAAGAGCCTCCATAAAGATACCCAAGGAAGCCCTGGCTTAGTGAATGGTCACCTTTCTAGACCCCAAACATTGGTCAATGGTACTGGTGGAGCGTGAGGACAATGGGAGAGAATGCAGCCTTCAGACTAATCAGAACTTCTCAAGGTGTTGAGAGCTCTGCGGTTTGCCCAGCTGGTACTGGTACACAAGTCCTTATCAGAAAGCCTAGTTATTAGGAATGACCGATTGTAACAGGGGAACCAGCACTTGAAAAATTTCACTCTGATGAAACTCCCTTAGTCTTGGAAAGCCAGGCTCCACCCTGCCCAAGTACATGTCCACTTGACTGGATGTTTGCATGGACACTCCTCTGCGGGGGATTTTACAAGGAGCTAAGACACTGCTGGCTTAACTCACTTTGATCACTTGCCAAGGCAGCAGCAAACAAAGGAAAATCCTGGGTACGTAGCAGCCTGAGAGGTCAACCTAGGGCTGGGTTATTACCCCACGCCTTTAAATGCATAGGCCACTCAAAGCTAAAAGTTGCCAGGGTTGCCTTCACGGCACTCTGAGCTCCCAGGGATGAGTTCCCGGATCACACACAGTCAGGAAGGACCCACAATCTGATCAAGGAGCCGAGGCACAGTTTGTCCTAAGGTCTAGCTTCTGCATTGAGGACACTGATCTCACCTTTATTCATACCCTACTCAGCGGCGACGTGGGAGGGGGCGCATGTGGGGTCATGTGCCCCCCAGTTTGCTACTTGGCTTGTACTGAGCATACTCAGTAAGACTGCTGAAGCCAGCTGCCCTCCCTCTGTCTCCCCACTATCGGCAGGCACAGGTCATCTCTGACCCTACTGAAGTCCATGAGAATTTGGCTCAGTCTGGCAATCCTACACCCCAGGAGCTGGAAGTCTTTCCAAGAGCAGAGATGACCTATCCTCAGACACTTAGGATCACCTTGTCGTAGAGGAAGTCATCTCCTGTACCCTCCCCTTGCAAAGTGACTATCAGACCATCCATACCTGGATGAAGCAGAATGAAGACAAGGGGGCAACTGACAGACATTTATCATACATAGTTTGTAATTTATTAAGCAGGTAAAATAGGAGCAAGGAGGTTGAGCAACTAATTTGATCGCTGCTGGTGTTAAGAATGAAAGTGATCAAGCCAAGTCTTTGTACTGTGCCCTCCCAGTGCCTTGGCCTGCCGGCTCTCAACATAGCCTTCATTTCTCTCTCTCCAACCAAGTTCCAGGATTTATATGCACCCAGTCATTGACATTTCCAAAGCCAACTGGGGTATTCAGCTACACAATTCCCACTGATCAGCGGGAGTTGCATGGTTAAACTGACTATCTGGCTCTGAAGATCTCAAGCTCTTTACCGATTTTTAGAATTTGAGATTTTTTTCCTGTCAGGCAATTCTGTAACTAGACAGTTTCAGAGACGGGGGCAGGGGAAAATAAACTGCAACGAAGCTGAAAGTTAAGCATAACTCTCTCAATGTCCCCTCCCCCACCCACCAGTACGCCATCTGCTATGAATACGGAGTCATTGTACCGGGCTTCAGAATAACTTTGAGATGGTCTTGTAAAATTGGCTGTGGAATGAAGCCTGCTGAACAATAAAATCCAGCGGGTAGCGGCTATTACTGGATGCAATGAAGGAAATTGGAAAGGGTATCCTATTTAAGAAATCAAGGACCGATGCATCCGGATCACTATGGCTGGCTCAAAGCTCGTGCATCATTTAATAATCAACAGGCTTCTCAGGTACTGAAAGCATTTGGCCATTCAAACCATGTTTTCTCTCCGGAAGGTTTTAAAATTGGCCTGAAAAGTTACCTCCCCCTCCCCCATCCCATCACCTTCCTCTTGCTTACCTGGTACGGTGAAGTCCTGAGTGTAGATGATATCATCTTCAATGTCATACAAGTCATCATCCTCTTCCTCGTTGTAGCCATGGAGATCTTCCAGATAAGGCACCACCGTCATACTCCTCCACCTATCCTTTGTCTCTGGGCTAGGAGGTATGGGGACCAGAGCCTCTGCCTGAGTATGTTTCTTACGAAACCAGCTGCAAAGAGTCCAAGGCACAGAGTTTCAATGATTTCCCTTCCGACAGGAAGCCCCAAGAGTCTGAGGTGCCCCCTACCAATCATGTCAGAGCTAGGTGGGTTTTTTTAATGAATTGAAAACATCTTGCACTGTTTTTTTCCCCTCGTAGGCTTCACCATAGGGCATAGTCTGGGGAGGCCAGTGGCAAAAAGAGGTGAATCCTGGGGCCTCTTGTCTCCGCTGCTCTGCGGCAGGAAATAAAGTACGAGGTGAGCGCGCCACTCCTGAGGGCATGCAGGCCACGGACTGCCATTGAGCTAAGGAGAACCTCTGATGGATCTACAAAGCCGTCTCTTGCGTTATTGCAGCAATGGCTATACACCGCTAGATACACATGACCATGACAAATCCCCACAATAGGATGGGGCTCAGGGGACCAGAAATAGGATACGAAGCCTCTCGCCTACTGATTCCAACCTGGCCTGAATGAACATAGCGAATGAATTACCGCCACTGCATATATACAGGGGGCTTCTCAACAGCAGGGGTGGCACTGAGCAGTGTGAGGGAAGCCAGCACTCACTGCTGCTCTCTGAGCTGTACCTGATCTGTGGACAGACAGATTTGTGTCTTTAGTGCTAAGAATCCAGCACTTTCTCCCAGCTTTAGAGAGTCATAAATCAGCATAACAGGAAGAAAAGGGAACTTGCAGCCTATGAGTTTAAGGGCTATGGATCTTAACCCCAATCTTCCCCTTCATGGCAATATTCAGTGGGATCATGGCAAAGTCACTTAATATTTTATCCTTCCACCTCACCCCTGTCTTGTTGGAATTCTACCACCATTTCATCCATCACCCATAGTGCTGTTCTAACTTGCCATCTGCCCAGAGAAGAATCTCAGCGCCAAATGCCATTATTAATCAGATCAAGAGTCTAACGGTCTTGAATTACGTCAATATCTCAGGAGCCAGATGGGTGGCCTTTCCCATTTTTCACTGCCCTATAATAGACGTACTCCTGTACAGTTCTCAGGGCTGTGCAGCCGAGTTAAAAAAAACATTTCCTAGAAGTACCATTGGAGTCCCTGTACACCTAATCTACAGCACAGAGTAATCCAATGCACTTGGGTTCTCGACTACATTCCAAATACCATTCGCCTGTAACAATTCATGGAGTCTTCAGCATGCAGGTTTCTCTGACACGCCTTACCCAGCCTTCACACATTCAGCTCTCCGTAACAAGTGCCTGTTCCCCCAATCATGCACCCTGATGACCCCACCAGCCTGAAGGATCAATGCCTATGGATTAAACATTCAGAAGGTCAGGCTTTGGTCATCCAATTGCTTCTTCCCACATCCTATGTGAATCATGCTGCTGGGCGGCTTCAAATCTGGTATGCAGAGCAGCACGTCCTCCCCGTTTCAACAGGCAGTTCTGTGGGCTTTGCCCAGGAGGGTGATCCCACACACAGGAAGTGATAGGGGAGTTCAAAGCATTCTCACCCAAGGAGTGTCGGGTGTAGAGCAGCTGGGTCCCCTGATGGGCTGCTATCCCAGCATTAAATATTAAACCCCTGCTTTTGTGCCATCAGCTGAATGGTAATTAATCCATGAAAGCCAATCCTTCCCAGCACTAGCTTGGTAAAGACAACTGTGCTGTTTATCAGGGGCTGCCTGTGAATAGCAGGGAGGTGCCCCTCACTTGCTGTGAAAGGACGCTTTGATCAATTTGTCATCGTAAGCGGATCTGGTCTAATGAAACTATACGATTTCTCCTCCAGCCTATTAGCGTCTCTTTAGGGCTCATGAAAGGTGCTGCTTTAAGTCAGAGACTATGTTCTCTGCCCACAGAACGGGTATAGAATGGGCAGCACGAGCCCCCCCACCTCCACGCTACACCCCATTTTCCACCAACGTGCCTCAGTCCTGATGTGGAGGGTCCATGAGTTCTGCCTTCATCTCCCATTCAGTGCTCTGGTCTTTATCTGAGGCTGCTGCCAGGGGCGGCTCTATGCTTTCGGCCGCCCCAAGCACGGCAGTCAGGCGGCTTTTGGCAGCGCGCCTGCGGGAGGTCCGCTGGCATGCCGCCGAATCCGCGTTACCTGCGGGAGGTCCGTCAGTCCCACGGCTTCAGCATACCCGCCGCTGAATTGCCGCGGGACCGGCGGACCTCCCGCAGGCATGCCGCTGAAGGCAGTCTGACTGCTGCCCTCACAGCGACCGGCAGGCTGCCCCCTGTGCCTGGAGCCGCCCCAGGTGCGCGCTTGGTGCGCTGGTGCCTGGAGCCGCCCCTGGCTGCTGCCCCAAGTAGTACCAGATGCAATATGAATGCTTAGCTACTTGGTCACATATGTAGACATTAGAAACAGGTTTTGGCTACTACCAACCTGGGACGGATTTGAACTAGTCAAAGGGGACGGGAGAGCTCCAGAACGGGCTCTTGGAAACGTATGCCATCCTGTTTTGTTTTAAACCCCCCCCCGCCCCCCGACCTGGAATTAAGTTGGAACATAGATCTCCTCCACAACACAAATGCAATCATGATTGTGTTAAAGACTTAAGCTGGTTAGAGAGTAAGCCCAAAAAATGTGACGTTTTAGCAAACCTGTCCAGTGAAAACAAGCAGTTAATTACATTTTCACACACGTCTCTCGTTCTACCGGGACGGACCAATCGGTATTCAAAGGAGGAGCAAACCTTGTTCAAAACCCAGCTTTGTGAACATGGTTGAAAATAAAGTTATGAAGCAGCCTGAAGGGGAAATGGATTCAATATGATCTGTCTAGAACGATTCTCCCCCCTCCCCATGAAAAAGGGGTTTGATCTTTTCGCTCCTAAGACTGCTGTCATTTTAAACTGAGAAGATGACATTTGATATGTATGTACCACCGCTTCTTATCCAATGGTAGAATCATTTCCTAGTCCTGTTTTTTTGGGGCGCGGGTGGACAAGGCAGACAAGCAGTTATACCGGAGACCGTGGAAATTGCCTCTTTGAAGTGTCTGGTGCACTGGTTCAGCATTTTAAGTAATTCGCACTGGCAGCTTTTCAGGCCAAGAGTTTGAAGATGCTTCTCAGAGGAGCAATGGCAGATGTGGGGTTTCACGGATGGGCAACGAAGTGAGCAGCGCTCCACAGCAGGAAGTACCAGCTCCATGACCTCCCAGCAGCGCTTCACGTGTGGGCTCCATGCAGTTCTGAACCAACCGCACCTTGAGGGGGATGGGAGACCAGCACTGGCTGCTTGGAAAGTTAAGTAGCAGCCTATGCTGCTGCTGCATTGTGGGAAAGATGAGATAGGAGTACCAAATGCCGCCAAAGAGGCTGAAGGGGAATTCTTGGGTGAGCGCAGATGGGAAAAGCCCAGGTTTCATCATTCTGGAATTCTAGATACTGACTAAACTAGAGAGGAATGTGGAAGAGATGCTCATGTATCGGAAGTAAAGGCTCCAAGATCTCTCAACGGCCTGGGAAATCCACACTTCTTGTGAACCTTCAGACCTCTTGCACAGTAGGAAGATTGTTTCCAGATTTCCAATGTTATATGGGAAGCTGGAATGCAAACACTCCTTCAATATATTGCCCATTATCTGCGTGGAACTCTTAGGTTTAAGATCAGTCTCTCACTCCCCCAAAGAAGAATCTCATTACCAATAATAGAAGATACTTAAATTCACTGGCTCTTTCCTGTTCCCTAAAGTGTTGCCGGCAGACTTATTTTTGTTGAGCGTTGACTTGCTCGGGGCTACGCAAGGTATAGGATTCCTGCCCTCAAAGCTTGCTATCTGAGTGGAAGAGGCCACACAATACAGACACAAACTGCCCTGGATGACTGGAAGATTAAGGTATTCCCATTTTGTATTGATGCAGGTCTACAGGTATTTCTACCTTAGGTGGAACAAGAGTGGCAGGCTTGGTGGAAAAGGAGGGATTCGAACGCCACTTTGGTTTGTCAATTACGTTTAGTGAGCCAAATGGTGGTAACACCGCTAAAATGAACAGCGAGACTTTCGGGGTACTGGGCCACCAAAGCAGAAGTGGGCAGGTCCACCCCAATTGCATTTTAGTCAGCAGTTATGCCTAGCTCTGGGTATGGGGTCTCTTCAATGTACATGGTACACAAAACCCTGTACTGACTTGGTTGCTGGACTGTCTTTCCGTGGGAGACTGCTCTCATCAAGGAAGCGACTGTACAGATACAACTTCACTCTGGGCTGATATGTGAGGGTCATCTAGCAGAGCTACTGCAGAGCCATTGATTTTTGCCATGGGCATTGCGGCTGGAGGAAACCAAGATATAAATGCTAGCCACTTCAGGAGAATGGAGAACAGGGGGCAGAAGTGAGAAAGTGGAAAGATGCTCAAGTTTGCCAATAACGAAGGAATTCTGAAAGAAGGGCTAGAAATTTCTAGCAGCTAGTGATGTTTGTTTTGCTGTATTTCAGCTCTGCCTCTTTCCTGCCTCCTGTCCTACTTTCCAGGAGAGTAAAAATAGGTTTTATTAACAACTGAAACCTGAATCACTGTACTGTAGTCATGTTGATTCCATCCTCTGGGAGATGAATTCAAACATTTACATATGTATCTATGCTAATCGGAATGTAAAGTGAGAGGAGAGATTCAATGAAGAACAAAAGGAAACCAAAGACCTGTTGGAAAGAGCCCCTCAAGTAATTTGACATGAAGAAACAGACAGTATTTCCTGTCAAGCCTCAGACTGGGCAGAGACAATTCTCTGACATGGCTCGAGGTTCCGCCTGTCACTCTGCATTTTCCGCATATGTCAGTATGTTGGTAGCGGGCAAAGGGTTTTCTATTGCAGGTCAGGCTACTGCTCCATCGAGTTTGAGCCTGGTTTGAGAAGTTATTGGCCACGGCTTTGTCGCGAGGCAACCACTCATTCTGTGCTAATCTAGGCGGGGTAAAAATCCCTGCCTGACCCTGCATTGATCAGCTGACACCCTGAAGTGTGAGACTGGATTCGAAAGCTTTTGAGAAGAGAAACAGGCTTTATCTCA